CAGAAGAGGACACGACGACGTCACACGCAGCGAGTGTGCTCAGTGTTTATGGAAGTAAATATGGATGGTGGTGGCGGCGATGGTGGAAACAGAACTGAGACGGTATCCTTAACTAGCATCAGCAGCTAAGTACTGCCTGTGTGTTCTGACAACTTCCACCCTGTCGGAGCGCTCCCCAGGGGTGGAAGTGTCCCCCAACCACGCCGAATATTCAGATATTCATCATTAATTGGGCCTGAATATCCAGAGACCAGATAGTGCTATTGAGACCAGCCCTACTAGTTATTGTAACAACTATGAACAATAATTAACAACTAATGAGCCTTCCAGCATCAAGCCCTCCTTGTATCTCGACCTCCGTCTTGACAATCCGACAGCCTTGCTATCCGACATAAAGGAAGGTTTTACATTTAGTGTCGGATTATCAAGTCACGACTGTAGTTCAAAATGCAGCAGCCGTTGTCGCTGCTACTAAAAACAGAGGCCATACCTTGTCTGCTTTCATTGATTAAGATTCTATAGTGTTTAAAGCAGCTTCGTCCTCCCTCGTCTTTATTCTCAGGTGCAACAGTTTACTCCTCCCTGTCAAACCTTCCTCATCAATCTCCTCCATAGAGTCCCGTTTCAAGACCCGTGTTTTTATAACTGCATATAAGTCCACCTTAATTATTAACATCCAGAGAAGAGTGTCGGTTTCCTCTTTAACTGCTTGAAGGTGTCACAAGCAATGATTTACTCCTTTAGCTCCTGCGAGACTTAAAGTCGCCTTTACGATCTCTCAGTCTTGTGAGATTTGTATGTTATATTTCAAACAATAACTTCCTCGTTAACGGTGATTCTTATGTTCATTTAGGGAAGATTTATTTTTTTAAATGCCAGTCGGGTCATAATGTATGTTTGATTTAAAGCACCGGCGTGGTTAAGTGACCTGAAGCTGTTCCAGCTCCATCATATTGTGTGCGTTTCCTCTCTTGGCCACTTAATAGCTGATTAACGCTAACATGATTAAAGACAGAGCGCTGAAAGTTCAAAGTGACTGATGACTTTCAAGACTGTGATTAATTCCTCTCCTTCTCCCGTCTGCTGTCCTCTGCTGAGCTGCCTTCTCTTATCTTGACCTCCGTTCGTTGTCCTTTGTTTTGTTGCTTTCTCTGTTTGTCTACTCCTGTTTCCTCCTCTGATCTCTTTTCATCCCTGTCAACTTTTTGTGACATTTTTCATTGATATTTTTTGCTTGATTTTCTTTTTTTTTCTTTTAATTAATCCCCATTTTTCTTTTTCTATCTCTTTTCTAAAACTCTCTTCACACTTGTTTCCTCTCATCTCGAGCTTCCTTTTCTTTTTATTTCCTCTTTTTGTTCTGTGTGTGATCTCTGCTTTTGTGCTCACGCGTTCCTTCTCGATCCTCTTTCTAGGCGTAACCATTTGGGAGCTGATGACCTTTGGAGGGAAACCGTACGATGGAATTTCCACCAGAGACATTCCAGACTTGCTGGAGAAAGGAGAGCGTCTTCCTCAGCCGCCCATCTGCACCATCGACGTCTACATGGTCATGGTCAAATGTAAGTCGAGCCACGCTGCCATCAAAACAGGAACTTCTTTTATGGTAATGATAATTGAATGCAGCAACACAAACTGCAGCGGCAGAAATGACAGTTGCCGTCTGCAGCAAAATATGTGAAAAGTCACTGAGAGCAATGAGGAAAGTTTCCGCTGACCGTTGTTGATTAATGTGCCGTGAGATTCCACTCGGTCCCTCAGCCACATGAAGCAGAGATGTTAAAGGATGCTGCAACCTTAAATGTGGCAGAGGTGTAGGTTTGTTCTGTTACAAACATCAAACGGCCTATTTTGGTATCTGTATGACCAGGTTATCCAAAATATCCTTTTTTATTTTATATTATTGCAGGATTTAGAGATAGTTATTCTGTAATAGTTCTGTTTGTTGTAACATAATGAGGATATTTGTCTGTGTGCATACTGATGTGTGTTTGCACCAGAACTGGACAGCCTCTCCAGAAATGGCAAAACAAGTTTTAACCTCTTAAGACCCGAGCTCTTGTTTGAAATGCATTTTTTTTTTATTAAGAATAAAAAAAAAATGTAAAAACATAAAGAAAAATAAAATATATTTTAAAAAAATATATAAAAAATATTCTAAAAAAATAAAATAAAAATAAAACAATAACAAAAGAATAGAATAGAATAGAATAGAATAGAACGTTTATTGTCAAACAGAATATACACTTGTTGGTGCACATTTTGGCTGAAATTTCGATGCAAAAACTCGCCATCAGACTGGTAATAATAAAACAAAAATTATTAAAAATAAAAATAATTACAATATGTACATGTAAAAAAAAAAACTATATAAATATATGTAAGTATTTATACACACACACATGATACACACCTGCATACATACACATCTGTACACATTTGTTTTCACAGTAACAAAATAATAATAAAACAAATTTAAAAAATTAACTACTGTGATAATATAAACCCAAATGTGATGTCCTTGCATGTTGATACCAGGTCTTAAGGGGTTAAATAAAGCCCAGTCAACCTATAAAGCTGTATTTACTGCAGATCTTATATAGCTGAAATGCAGTGCACTCGAGTTCCGATGGAGACAGCTATAATTAAGTTATGAAGACCTCCAGTAGAAGATAAATTAGGGACTAATCTCTCTGCCCGGCTGGGACCCGCAGCACCAACGCGGCGGTCCTATTGGTCGGTCGGTGTTGTCACGCCGTCGGCCACCGGGGTCACAGTTGGCTCTGTAACCTCTGGCCGCTGCTGCCAGCACAGAGACTCGGTGCCAGCTTCACCCTAACCTTGTCCCGTGCTCTCCACACCGTAGCCTCTGGCTGTCACTGTCACCTTGGCTTTTACTGTCACCCTGAACCGGCGCCAATGTGGCAAGCAGACACGCACACAGCGGGGAGAGGTCACCCTCACCTGCCTGTTACCTGCCTTCTTTTTGCACTGCTGCACATCCAGAAGCTCAGACACTCAGACAGGCACACCGGTGAAGATGTGCTTCCTCCTATTTAGCTCATTTCACCACTTTGGCACCAAACATAAGGTAAAAGATGATCACTCTTGCATGTGAAAGCTCTTGTATCTATGTACTCGTGTCGAAAGCCACATCTCCCTCTCTGACGATCTCTATTCCTTATTTCCCCGGATACCTAGACAGGCACCACTCAAGGCCAGATCACGTGTCTGCCTTGGCATTGTACCCATGTGTTCACAGGGAAACTGGCAGAAGAGCACATTGCTCCATATGGCCATTCTAGTGATGAAACAGTGTTTATCTTTAAACTGGATAAAGTGATTACGATAAAGAGAACTTCATTAAAAAATAAATAAATAAATAAATCATCATGGACGAAAGAGAATTTATTAAATAATGGAAAAATAGATGCATAAGAAGAAGTGAGGAGTTTAGGTTAGTTATCCATTCTTTGCTAACATGTTCTTGGACATTAGGATACACAGCACACTGCACATATGTGATGTTTTTGCAAATTCTTATGCAAATCAGTTCTAACTTTGACTTTGGTGCAATCGGAAATGAGCGAGTGGGTTGTGTGCACTTACAATGTCGGCATATAAGCTTCACACTTCCTCCTCTTATTAAAACAGATCTTCCCATACTGAATTATTCACACTGTACCCTCATGTGCACGTAGTTAAAATAAAAAACTGTACATTATTTGGATCTCAAACCATCCCGTCAGTCAGATTATTATGAAAGCTTTCATGCAAACAACACAGGAAAGAGCATGTTGTGCATATTTGACACAATCTGCGTAGGCACAACCCTTTGACACCAAAGTTAGAATCAACTCCTGAATCGCGCTGCCTGATCACCACTGACTCAACACGCCGCTCCTCCCACTTAGATGCAGTCACTGTAAGATCACAGAGCCGGGAAGTAGCTTGATCTTTATGCTTCCTGCTGAGAAAAGCATACGATGAGAAGATTTGCTCATGAGGTCGGATTTAAAGTCAAGTGCTATTGGAGGGGAAAAAATATAATGAATCCACAGGGTTAAATATCAATATCTATGCTCTGTCTGTAAGTAATGCGAAAACGTTTTCCAGGCTGGATGATTGATGCGGACAGTCGACCCAAGTTCAAGGAGCTGGCTGCAGAGTTCACCAGGATGGCTCGCGATCCCCAAAGATACCTGGTCATCCAGGTAGGCACGTCTCATATGAAGCTACCGTTACTGTAAGAATTAAACTGTCTTGTGTTGTGCTTGTTTTGACGATTGATATAGGATTTATGTAGTCAGTAGGTATAAGTATCTACTAGAAATTGTGTTTTCTTTCATTATTCCTCATAAAATGTTTATTAGATTGTGTTTTTAAAAAAGTGTACTAGTTTAAATTAGTTAACAAGTGCTGTGAAGCTACTTTTACATCACGAGCACAAGTCAAAATAATAACAACACCTATTTTTAATTTAGGTTTTCAGTAAATATAGAGCTTAAGAGCATATTTACCAGTGTGACTGCTCTGTGCCAAGTACTCGTTGTTCTGACATTTTCAGAACGATTCGAGTTTTACATTTTTGGACAAGATGGCAGACAATATGTACAACCTGTGGGTGTGACATAAATCATGTAAAAATAACAACAACAGGTTGCTTAATACCAAATTAACAGCAAGTATTTAAATGTCTGACAACAACTGATGTGACTTGTGGAGATTTGTGGGTTCACGTGATCCAAAATGGTTCCAATAATGCTTAAAGAAACAGAGAAATAGCAGTTTAATGAGTGTAAAGGTGCATTTCCTTTGCAGTTCTTTTACCTCCCGTAGCCAAGGAAGTACAGTAAACACCAGATGAAATCAAAGAGTGCTTAAATAAGAAGTAGGTAGCTGGTGAGCCATTCTGTGTCATTAACAAAATACATACATACCATCAGAAATCCTGTACTGTGCATTTAGATTACTCAGACCGGAGCAGTGATTGTCTCATCAGCCTTTGCATAAATTGCTCCTAATGTACAGTATGATCACACATGCATCGACTTCTCTCAGGGCGATGACCGCATGAAGCTGCCCAGCCCCAATGACAGCAAGTTCTTCCAGAGTCTCCTGGATGAGGAGGAACTGGAGGACCTGATGGACGCCGAGGAGTACCTGGTACCCCACTCCTTCAACATCCCCCCGCTGGCGTACACCCCCCGTGCTCGCATGGACTCCAACAAGGTATTTTGCTTTTAGGGATGTGCAGACGACTTAAAACGAAGCCATTTAGAAATAGTTTTAAATGGCTGAAGGATTGTTTCTCATCTGCTAAAATACTGTGATGCAACCAGATGGCAGCGGTGATAAGAGCAAGATGTAGTTCTCAAATGACTGGCTCTTCTCTCGGCATGAAAACCTTTTACAAAGAGGGAATTTATGTCCCTTCCTCAGATTATGGATCTGGTTAGCCAGCTGCTTGAACTGTACCGCCATACAGGCGGCAATACAGTTTATTAGCACTCCTAGCGCGGTCGTAGTCGTCGAGCTTTTGTTTTAGACGTAGCCCCTCAGCAAGTAACAAAATGCATACCTTTAAGCTTTGTTTTTACTGTTCTGGCTTCGTCAGAGAAGTCCAATAAAGAATGCAGGGGTATCTATAAAGCTAGCAGTGACAGCAGTAACAGGTGGTGCCAATTACCTCTCCAACCCATGAGCTGTGTGGGCTGCCTCCGTGCCAGACATTTATCGCAATGTGTTTTTCGAAGTTTTCAGTTTATTGTACCCTCGCTGAGATCCACCAGGTTTCATGCAAAACACTCACTTAGCAAAAGCTCCTGAAGAGGTATTTAAATT